GATGCCACCCTTCAGTCCTCTGGAACTTCACCCGTTCTCCACAAGGCCTCAAAAATGCAGGCCAGCAGGTGTGAGAGTACCCCTGCCAACTTTCTAAGTACTCTTGGGTGTAACCCATCAGGGCCTGGCACCTTTGTAATGTCCAATGCCCTGAGGAGCCCCTCGACTTCAAGGGGGGGTGACTCTCATCTGTGCCCCTAAGTCCCCAGCCTCATCTAATCTCCTATGCGGATATCCTCCGTCCTGCTTTGGGGAGAACACAGAGGCAAAATAGTCATTTAGCATCTGTGCCTGTTCCCTCATATCAGTCACTGGATCGCCTTCCTCCTTATTGTGTGGTCCCACCACTTGTCTCTCCTTCCTCTTCCTATTTACATGCTGAAAGAAGACCTTTTTCTTGCTCTTGATATTCTTGACAAGTCTCAGCTCGTAATCAGCCTTAGCCTTGCGAAGAATCCTTCTGCAACGGGCCTCCTCCTCCAGGTATACACTTTTGTCTATTTGCCCCAGTACCCATTTCCTACGGAGGTTCCTCTTTCATCTAATCCCTCTAACCACCTCCTTTCGCATCCATGGCGGCGCTCTCCTCCGCCTCCCCGCCTTAGTGACTAGAGGTATCGTCAAGGCTTGCACCTCCAAAACCTCCCTATTTTGGAGGGGAGCACATTCCATAGTCGGGGCACCACCGCAGAGAAGGCCCTCCTCCGAGTACTCTGTCTCTTAACCTTTTTCAAAGAGGGTTCCTGGGGGAGAGCTTCTGTTGCCGATCTCAGGTGGTGGGAGGGCAAATAGGGAAGAAAGTGTTCCTTTAGGTATCCTGGTCCCAAGCCATTTAGGGCTTTATAGGTCAAAACCAGTACCTTGAATTGGGCCTGGACTTCAATGGGAAGCCAATGGAGCTGATGGAGGATTGGGGTTATATGAGAATAACGCCCAGTCCCCGACAGCATCCTGGCAGCTCTATTTTGCACCATCTGAAGTATCCGGAGTGTCTTCAAGGGCAGCCCCACGTACAGCACGTTACAGAAATCCAACCGGGAAGTAACCAATGCATGTGTTACAGTTACTAGGCAATCCTCTTCAATAGAAATAAAGATATAATAAAATGCAATATCAAATTCCAAAATAAATGTTTAAAGCAGTATACAGTCCCAATGTGCAAACTTCTAAAACAGTTTAAACATCTAAAACAATTCCAGTAAATCTAAACATAATAAAACTGATAAAACCTTACATATGCCAAAAAATTCCATGGAATGGCTGGGAAAAGAGGACAGTTTTAACCTGACACTGAAAAGACGGTCATGGTGGTGCCAGGTGGGCCTTAATAGGTTGTTCCTTAATTGGGTGGCCACCATATATGACTTCTGCACATGCCAGTGTATGGAAATGTGCATATCTTTTTCCTGCATGGGTCAACTACATAGGGTGAAGTAGGAAGTCACACAGAAAGCTCTCCTTAAGTTACCATCTCCTTCCATTCATCTCCATGTTTTTTCAGCTGCACTGGCCCAACCCAGCTCCTATAGAACATCAGAACATATTTCCTTGTGGGACCAGACCAAGCAAGCTTCTAGCCCAATATTCTGTTTCCAGCAGTGAGTAGTTAGGTGTTTTCAGGACATCCATGAAGGCAACAACTCTTTGCAGATGTTGCCACAACCCTTCAACAGTGGACATTCTCTAACACATCTGCCTTTGAATGAAAAAGTTCCTCTCGGCTCTTACGGGTGATAAGTGTGGATAGACTTGTCCTCCATTACCTGCCTCTTCCCCTTTGAAAGTCAGAATCAAAGGAATCAGGGTGCAATCCAATGGATGCTTAGACAGAAAAAGGTCCTATAGCTCCCAACACAGCCCGGAAAGCATATCTAAAAACACCCTAATTTAGTGCACTGGATGAAGAAGTACAGTACTTGCAATCTACAGCCACTCAGTTTCACTGAATCCCTTCTCCCACTTCCAGAGTTCTTATTTGACTGCAGAGAGAAAGAAAATGCTTTGTGTTCCCTTTTTCCACCCGTTCTGTCATTTCATGAACCTCTTCTGTTAGATTCTCATTGCTAAAAGGGGCCGCAACTGTCCCCCCCTTGATCACGCCGCATGCATCCCCTAATGCTAGGACGAGCCTGCTTGCTCTGCAGTCCCGCTGATCAGAGGGAAAATGCTGGCTACTGATCTCAGCAACAGAGAAACTGCTCCGGGCAGTCCCGAGGAGGTGGAAGCAATCTAAAAAGCCCTGGCACACAAGAAAAACAGAGAGGTCCGCCTGGCGCCGTTGTTATTTGTTTTTCGGCGCCAGGCTAAGACCTTTTTATTTAAAACTTATTTTAAGTGTTAATTTATTATGTAGGACTTTTAAAAAATTTTAAGCCGAGATGCACTGGGTTTTAATATTTTTAGTGTATAATTTTTGTATGATTTTGTATGTTTTTGTTGTGAGCCACCCCGAGGCTTTGTTGCGATGGAGGCGGCATAGAAATGTTTTAAATAAATAAATAAATAAATAAATAAATAAAATAAATCAGAAGGGATATGCAAAAGAAAATTACAGGTGCGGTCTTACCCCAACCCTATGCCTGTTTAGACAGAGTAAGCCCTAAAACTTCCAGCATCTTCCAGCCACCTTGCTGGGAGATGCTGGGAGGAGCAGAATTTACCCCTTTCTAACATGGAAGGATACATCTTAAGTCTTTTAAGAGAGCAGAAAGGATTCCCCTTCTTCTCTCTTAGCAGACGCTGCTACAATGGAATCCTTAGGACATAGTGGCATACAAGCTAAACTTTACAGAAGTATATACACAGGCAATTTTTAACATTAAAATGTTTTATTTTGAAAAATATATTCATTACTAGAAGAAAATGGTATTAATTCCAAGCATCGGGGCAGCAGAAAGAAGTTCCCTTTTATTTTTATAGTCACAGTGATGATATGATTTAATTGCGCTGAAGGTGCAAAAGCACACGTGCTCTCTGAGTTCCTTACTTTTGGTCAGATTTGGCCAACAGCTGTACAGCACATGTGGGTTAAAGAGGGTTGAGTGTGAGCTTTGCGACAGAGGACATGCACGCGGCTATCTAAAGGCAGCTGCGGCTGGAATGGAATAGATCCATAACAAGGAAGAAGAGCCATGCCTAATCCGACCAAGGTCCACTCTGTCCATGCAGTGGACAATCAACGGCTTGCAGGAAGCTCACAACATCACATGAATGCCACAGCACCTCCCTGCCCATGTTCCCCAGCAACTGATGTACACAGGCATATTGGCTCTGCTACTGGAGGAGCCATCAGGGCTAGCTAGCAGTCTCTAACAGTCTTCTCCTCTAGGAATTCATCTCTGCCCATTTTAAAGCTATCCAAATTGGTGTCCATTACTTAGATCTCATGGATGCAAAATCTATAGTTTAACTATGTGCTGTGTGGGGAAATCCAGCAATCTGTCCTGAATCTCCACCCTCACCCCCACCATGGACGCTGAAAACAGGCGGGCAGGCATTACGAAAATAAAAGCAAAATGGTGTCCATGACTGCTGCAAAGTGTCTGAAGGGCCAAAATTGGTTTGTCTGCCACATTTGCCCGTCCCTCGTCTAAGCCCACCTGCCGTCTTCAGCTGCGGTCAGGGATGCAGCCCCATTCGTGAAGTCAAAGGAAGGCTTGACTGCCAACCCAGTGGGCTTTTCTATATGGAACTGGAGAGGCATCATCTTCTCCATCCCCTCAGGCAACAAAAAGCTTTGGACCAAACCTGGCTGAATACAGGCCTTAGTCCGTATCCTTCTCTTCCAAGCTACCAAGCACTGGAAACAGCTGAGAAGCACATGGACATGGGGCTGGAAGTGGGAGGAGAACTTCCACTTGGCATATCTTTCTTTATGCATCTGAGAGTGCATCGTAGAATGACTCTTAATCGCTCTCTCTCTCCCATTGTGTGTGTGTGTGTGTGAGAGAGAGAGAGAGAGAGAGAGACAGTATGCATGAATGGGAATGGAGACACCCACGACCAGATCATGACACGCGCCCTGCTGAGCCACCAAGGCACAAGACCTTCAGGGCCAACATATTTTCCTACCTCCAGAGGTGGAGGTCCCAGATTCATGTTGCCACCCAAAAGGGTCCCATGCAGCTGGGCTAGAAAGAACTCTGCCCGAATCCTTAGTCAGCTGTAGCCGGTCAGAGCAGACAGTGCTGGTGAGATGAACCAAGGTTTCCAGGCCACTCTTTTTCCCGGTTGTGCAAGGGGCCCTCAGAACAAGAGAAGTGGGCGAAGCCTGTACAGCTTCTGGGGATCATCTTGTGTTTTAGGATTTTATGGGCTGCCACATGCAGGCTTTTGCTATCAGTCATGCTAATAGAAGGAATCAGGGAATAGTTCCATAACAAATGAAAATGGGATCTTGCATCTTTCTAAATATATCCTTGTTTGAGCATATGATCCATAGTTTATTCACTAGTTCCCTATACATTTTCCTGTCTCTGGAAACCATAATGCTGACAATTCATAGAAAATCCTTTTGAAAAGCTTAAAAACCAAAACAATTATTTTTACCCACCCTTCCTCCAGCCACATCCACCTTTTTGTTTATCCATGAATTATTCATCTTCTTCCAAAGAGTCCAAGGCAATATATTTGCCCCGTTCCACCTGCATTTGATCTTCAGGATAACCTTGTGAGGAACCTTGGCCCAGCAAGGGGAGAGGGTACTGGTTTAAGATCACCCATTAAGTTTCAGAACAGAGTGTTGATTTCAGCTAAGTCTCCATAGTTCTAGTCCACCTCTCTAACCAGTAAGCCACACTGCTTCTACCTCCTATTTACAACTCTTCTGATAAGCATATGGCAACTCCATCTACAGCAGAATAGCAAAAGTGGTCCAACCCTTGATTTCAGCTTCATTTGCTTGATAAAAGTTTCTGCTTGAGACACTGGGCAGTTGTTTTCTGTGTTTCAGCCCTTCTCCTGGTTGCCTTGTGGTGACCGATACTGCTCTTGCTTCCCAGGTGGTACTGTGAAGGAAAAGAACTTGAAAATTCACCAGATATTCACATCATCCAGTCCGGAGAGCAGCATTCCTTGATCATCCTCGAAGCTTTTGAAGAAGACACAGGGCGTTACTCCTGCTTTGCTTCCAACATCTATGGGACAGACTCGACCTCTGCAGAGATTTATGTAGAAGGTAACTGAAAGCGAAGCAGCTGGATAATGAACAACCCGCAGTGGTGCCGTTAATCCAGTGGGAGAGCACAGAATGCAAAGTAGCTCTCTGCTGGATGGGTTCAGGTGCCTGAACGCCCTTCCTCAGCTGAGATTATGTGACACACCACCTTCATGCCATGTCCGAGCTGAGGAGGAGATCACTGTGGTGTGAGAGGGAGAAACTGCTTGCAGGACGGGGCACAGAATCCCATGTTGAGGAGGAGATCACTGTGGTGTGAGAGGGAGAAACTGCTTGCAGGACGGGGCACAGAATCACATGTTGAGGAGGAGATCACTGTGCTGTGAGAGGGAGAAACTGCTTGCAGGACGGGGCACAGAAAGGGAGTGTGTAGCCTGCAACCTTTTTTTGTAAGTGTATGTGTGTATCTCACACAATTCAGCATGTGTGCTGCTGCTTGTGATGCAGTGTGGGGCAAGGAGACTCTGCTGCTCAGTGGTTAAAAATATGGCAAGATGTTAATTCTTGTGTATGATTAGTATGCAAGAGCGCAAGGCTCCAATTAGTTTTTGAAATAATATTGGCATGAAAATTCATGCAATGATGCAAATATGGAAGGGGGGGAGTTGTATGGCTCATCATCACTTCTGTCCCAGATAATACCCAGTCCAGTAGAAGTGGCAACTACTTCCCATCATGTCCACAATAAATGTTTTGGGTGCCTTTTGATAGTATCTGTGACATCATTATGACCTCTCACTTCCTAATTCATGCCCAAAGCAGGTTTTTCTTAGATATCTATTGAAAAAGTGGGGAGAGCATTTACCCACTGCAATTCCCTCCCATTTCCAGAATAGTTCTTGATTATCATCTTCTCTTTAAACAGTGAATGGACTTCATCTTCAGAGGGAATTTTCTTTTTCTGTCTTTAAAGTTTCCCTGAAGAATGAAATTGACTACCAGACTGTAACACCAAGTGTCAGTTTCAATTCAGTCGGTTTCAGCACTTTATTTATTATTGCTTTTATATACCATTCAGCAGCCATTTATGGCTCCCAGAATGGTTTAACTTTGCTTTTAACCAGTTCAGGAAGTCATGTGGCTAATGGGGTGGGCTAAAAAAAGACCTAATAAATACATAATTTAATAAATAGAACTTGACTTGTCAGTCATAGAAAAAATGGTATTGACTTATCAATAATGGAAAAACAGTTGCAATTGGGAAAACAAACAGCCTCTTGTACTGTACAAGCTTCCCTTTTCATTTTATTTGCAAAGGCTAGAAGGTTATTGATGAGTCATCAGGCTGTTTTCATAGTAGGTAGAATGTCAGTCTCCTTGCCCTGAAAAGAAAATAATAATACAAGCATTTAAAAAAAAACCGCAGCAGTCTCACTGCTAGGCATACGCCATCCAGCCCTGTTACCAGCACTAGCCAGGTCAGTGCTTCTGATGCGCTTAATCCGGGCACAAAGGTAGAATGCTCTGTCACTGTCCCCACGAGAACACCCTGCAACTCAGGGGAAAGTGATGCTCCCATAATAAAACTGGTGCCTTGATACTGGTATGCATTTACTTAAATGATTTCTGCCCTGCCTTTCAATGATCCTTAGGGCGACAGGCAATTAATGGCACTAACACAGAAGGAGAGAAAGAGGACTCCTGTCTGCTCTGTGCGGGACAGCCATCTCCGAGAGCCAGTGCGACACAGGGGGTTAGCCAGTGCTTCCCTTCGGCCCCGTAGTCCCAAGACAACTGGTGGTTGGAGCTCCGTGCTCTTTCTGGAGAGAAAAGGGGTGGGGAGTTCTTGGCAGCTGTTCCTTCTCAGGCTGATGGATAGCGCTGGACAGGTCCTCCCCTTGATACTGTACCCTTCTCCTCGGGAGCCAGGCGGAGCACCTTCCAGTAAATCCTGGTCCTCTGGCTGGTGGCAGAGGCCACTGTGCGCTTCCCTTTAGCTCTGTAATACCAGGACAACCGGCAGTCAGAGCAGAGTGTTCTTGGTGGGAGCAGGGGAGCAAGATCTGAGCAGCTGCTCCTTCTCTGGTTGATGGACGGGGCCCAGCCAGTGTTCCATGGCTGATGTCCTTCCTGCGAATCTGGGGTGCAGCCTCCCAGTGAATTCTGGCACCCTGGCTGGTGGCAGAGGCCAGCGAATGCTTCTTTCCAGCTCTGCTCTCCCGGGGCAACATGTAATAGACATGCAGGCTGCAAACACTGGACCGTAAGCCAACGCACATCTATGCTGGGTGCGTGCACATTAACTACATAAAACATTGGCAGTGGAAATTACTTCTTGGTGCTTTCCCAGGAGATCAAATCAATGCAGGCCCAAAAAGTCACCTCATTTTATGCACTCACAGTGTAAGCTCCACACATGTGCTCCGGTTGTATATTCACCAGGGGAAGTTGAGTGGAAAGCTGGGCATACCAAGCCTCACTCTGCCAATGAAGAGTTTAAATAGGAAATATTCGCACCCCACAAAGTTATAAAATAGCACAGGGCAGGCAATGCTGCCGTGGTCGTCATTCATACCGAGAAGGTGCCTGGCGCAATTGCTATCTACTTGGCTCATGTGCTAACAGTTGCAGCATTTACTGGTTGAGAAATAGCATTCTCTAGACATGTTGTACTGCACTGAAGTCTGCGTTACTGTTAAATAAATTAACGTATTATATTAATTTGGTGATGCATGAAACCTGCTTTGTCTTTGTCTTTTACAGGAGCCTCATCTTCTGAATCGGAAAGTGACACCAACAAAGAAGAAATGGATCAGTAAGTGTTGTATAAATGAGGGTTTCTGTAAAACACTGTGGAGATGTGATTGAATAGAGTTTGCCATCTTTAAATTAAAAGAAGGGGAGAGGTAACTTGGATTCAGGCCACAGCACAGTACAAAAGGGGGGTTTATTCCTCCTTCTTGCACCTGTTCCCCAATTAAATCATCCCTTCCAAGTTGGGAGGGGACTGGCACTTTACCGAACTGGAGGCCAAATTTTAATTGGAAAAATGGTGCAAAGGAAAAACCATTATCACCGCCCTCTCCCTATTTTTCAACTTTTCAAAAGCAATGCCAGTGTGTATGTGAATCCAAGCACAGCTCTTAGGTGTCAGGTTGAATTTGGCCCAGCATTTCCCTATGTTTTCTTCTTCTTGCAGTAATATGTCAAGCTGCTAAAGGGAGCTGCAAACTGAAGAATGGTTTTATGTTTTTGTGTTTGCAACAGTAAATATTAAGACACAATCTGGATGTCCTCAAAGGGCAATATAACCGATTAAGTGTCAGTCTTCCTTTCTTGTTGCTAAATCTACAGTTGTTACCACATAAACAACACCACACAAAGAAACAATAATATCATTTAGGGAAGGAAAAAAGTCTGTCAAAAAAATAAGCCTGCCACTAGCAAGTGAGACAAATTAACCCTTGCAGTTGTATTCGCTCGTCCCTAGATTGCATTCCCCCACCTCTCCTTCGGAATAAGATAATGGCTTAGCTTTGAGAGCATTATCTTTCCTCCTTCCCCAGGAAGGCACATAAGTCATTAAAAAGCAACAGGGGGTTGGTCTGCCTCTTTTAATCAATCTAGTTTAATTCTGCATGTCTCCTTGTAGCTACCTCCAGTATGTATACATATTTGTGCTGGGAATACTGCAAGTATTTATTTATTTTTCGATGTATATCCTGCCTTTTTCCTATAAAGGGCTCAAGGCAGCTAACATCTCCTCCTCCATCTTATCCCCACAACAACAACCCGGTGAGGTAGGTTGGGCTGAGAGTCTGTGACTGGCCCAAAGTCACCCAGTTGGCTCCATGGCTGAGCAGGGACTAGAACCCAGATCGTCTGAGTCCCAGTCCCGAACTCTTAACCACTACACCACACTGGCTCTCAAGTATCTTCCCATTCAATTGGTAAAACAATATGCTGTAAATTTCCACCTGCAAAAAGCAAGTCACCCAGTCAGCATGCACTCCAGATTGTGTCTCCCACAAAACCAAGGCATTTCCATCCCTGCCGTCTCGGTTTGTGGAATGAGGGCTTTCCCCATTCAGGGCTTTCCAAAGCAATCTCAGTATCAAGAAACCTTCCGAAATGATTGGCTTCCCTGAAGAAACATTCACTGATCATTCAGGAACATCAAGGGCCAGCTGACCTGAGGGCATTTTAACACTTGGCAAGCCCAGCTGGGATCCAGTATTGCTTGAAGGCAAACTCACCAGTTCTTGGAGCAAGCATCTCTGGACTTTCCTAGAGGGGAAATTTATCTTTTAAGATGCTGCTTGCAATGTACAGTTTCTATAAGTATTTGCATTAAAAATTATAGCAATAGCTATAGGTAGATATATAGATAAAGATCTACTTCCCAGTTCAGGGTGGATCCTTCTTTGAATAAAGAAAAACTAATTTTAAAGTCCATTAATCAAATCAATTCACCAAACATTTCAGCTTTAACAAGATATATTCCTTTTTTCTTTTTGGTAAAAATGTATTTTCTTATGTTTTCCCAGATACCAAAACCGCACAAAGATCTCTTCAAATGTGCAACCTTCTCCTGTTACCACCACAGTCACCCATCAAGAAGCACCCAAACCACAGCCTGTGTCAATACCTGTCCACCATGTAAGAGAGAGAAATGTACTGCATCATTGAAAAGCAACATGTACCTGAACTGTTTGGGCTTGTTTGCATGTTATCCTTTGCATGGCCTTCCAGCATGGCACCACCACAAGGCTGACCAGCAAGGAGGCAAGCCACAGAAAGATAGATGGAGAAAGAAGGAGAATAAGCCATTTTGTTTTTTAAAATGAGAGCAACAAAATAATGGATTGGGCTCGGAGTAGGGCAAATTATTTCCACTCATTTCAGCAGGTCTGCTCTAAGTAAGTGCAAATCCAACCCAAGGAGAGGAAAACAGTAAGCAAGAGCGCAAGGCTATGTACGTGTACTAAGAAGCAAGCCCTGTGAAAAGTGTTCTCCTTCACCTGGCAACAGCGACTGAAACGGATGCTTCCAGATGGACGTGCCATCGCGTTCCCTGCCAGGGGCATTGTGCAGCGATTCTGTCCTTTTTTTGCAGAACACATTTTCCACACTTAAGAAACAAGATAGAAGAAGTAGAGGGAAAATACAGAAGGATTGTGAGAGAAATAGGTCATCTTCTGAACATCCATGAAATTCCAAAAGAGTCGTCCGAAAGCATCCTGTTGTCCCCTGGCACTCTTTAGGAAGGAATATGCTGGGCAGAATCTGAATCTAATTTAAGAACTGCTTTTAAATTAATGTTTTTGGGAACCGTTAGTGGGTGGGACTTGTGAGTAGGCATTATAGGAGGAACTGCATGTGGACCAGGGACTGATGGATTGCATAGGTTTGTGTAGAACTTCTGCATTACTTTTTCTTCAGTGAAACAGTGCCCCAGCATTAAAAGGGTTCTAGTATTTAAGCAGGCCCATGGGGCAATCCTATGCATATCTACTCCGAAGTAAGCCCTGTTGAAGTCAATGGGGTTTACTCCAGACATGTGTGTACAGGATTGCCGTCCTAGTGGTATAAGGAGGCTTTTGTAGCTAGTCTGCTTGTAGTTTCTATCCTTTGGCTAGAGCTGGTTGACTGAGCATCCCTGAGACCATCTCTTCCAGACCTGCTGCGAACCCCCCACAGAGAAGTAAGGTGGATTAATGTGGGTTTAAAGATGGGTGCCTTTCCTCATCTGAAAAGGCAAAGGATCGTTTCCTAAAGTATGCTGAAGAAAGAGCATTCTACTGTGTGGCTTAGGAGGTGCAGTACCCAAGGAGATACTTGACATTTAGGAATGTCAAATCTTGGTGCAGTCAGGTAATTTTAGAGTCCTTTAATTTTAATGGTACAACTTCACTTGCTTCAAAATTTAGTAAGTTCAGTTCGGGGGCCCACTTGCTCATTCTGCTGCATGGAGACCTGAACTTCCTCCTCAAAACCTTGCTCTCCGTCTACCACTGATGGCAAATCAGTGTGCATCACTTGCCACAGTAACCATTGTGGATTCACTGTGCTTGTCTTGAATAAACTCTAACATTTAACATCCTTCTGGGTCCTCCTATGCCCTTTCTTATCCTCCGTCTCTCTGCCTCTTTCCCTGTCTGAAACACACACACACACACCCACTCATGCTTTTAACCATTCCCTTCCCTCTGATGTCATAAAAAGAAAAAAGAGATAACACTCCAGGAACAGGGCTTAGGATTCCTATCCTAACAACTTTCTTCCTAGAGCATCCATGCACATCCCAGGACGCAGCCAGGAACCTTCCAGCGCTGCTTCCTCAGATGCTCTAGAAATAAGGCAGGAACCATAGAGCCCATTCCTAGACTCTTTCTCCCCTCTCTCTGTTTCGGGGAGCAGCAGCAGAAGTTGGGGTTGGAGCAGAACCTGACAGCCTGTGCGAAGGCTATATTAGAGAGTCACCTCTATGTTCTACACCGCCTAATTGTGCTCACTCATCTCTATGCAGTACGTCATTTTTCCCATGGCCTTCCCTGTTCATCTTGTTCCATGGAAGCAAAAGCGTTGCACCCCAGTCAGCACAGGGTTGTGCTAATGTCTTGCCTGATGCCGACAGCAAACCTTTGTCTCAACGTTTGTTTTTCTAATCTGCAGAGTCAAAGTCCCACTAATTATTTACAAGGACTGGATGGAAGACCCATAATAGCTGCTCCAGTGTTTACTAAGGTAATGTGTTTTTACCTTCTCAAAATGAGGAACAAATAGACGTTATGGGAGGCTTCGATCATTTCCAAGCTATTTGTCCGATTATAAAATATCTTTCTGAAGGTCAGAGATTATACTATCGAACTTGGCATGTTAGGGTCATTGGCCTAGAACAGATCAGTATGTATTTTGAAAAAAGTCATATTTGAAAACATTGTAGGATTCCACTCTACAGAGCTAAAGAAATCTCCAGTGTAATCATTCAGAGGCATCTTCTTGCTATTATTTAGAGAACAGCTGCCATACAGTTATTCTCGGCTTTTTGAGAATAATGTACAGGGATGTAATACATGTTCTAAGAAGATCTGACATTGATACAAAATCTCATCAGAATTATTTAACATTCACACAAAACATAATGCAGAACACTCAGTTAATATGATGGTGTTAAAACCAACCATCTACGGTACATTGTAGAATTGAAAACAAAAACAGAGACAAAGAAAAGAGATTTTAAACCTCAGTTGAATTGGAACATGGAAAAATGTGTATTTCTGTTGATGTCCAAGTTGTACCTAATCCTCACAAAGCACCAGACATCAGAAAGGCAGTGTTTGCTCAACCATCTCTCAAACAGACATGTTCTGTTGTTCTCCGCTTTTAATTCCACAAAACCCACACCATGATCTGCCTCTCTTTTAGATGCTGCAGGACATCTCGGCCTCTGAGGGTCAGCTGGTTGTGTTTGAATGCAGAGTGAAAGGAGCTCCCTCTCCCAAGGTTGAGTGGTACAGAGAAGGGACAGTGATAGAAGATTCTCCAGACTTCAGAATATTACAGAAAAGTATGCTTTACAGCTGTTACAGACATTTATCTGAAAAGGTCAATGCTATGCAGAGTAACATTTTTTAAATTTGCATTTATTTAATGATTTGCTGCATGCTGGATGTAAATGCTTCTGAACAATAAACAGTGGGACGCTGTATTCGTGAACCTACAATTCTTTGCCACCACTCCACCCCTGCCCCCCAAAAATAGTAATTGGTGTTTCTACAGTGAATTTCAAATGTCCAAAGTGATTACAATGCATTGTGTCAATAATTCTTACAACACTCCAACAATGGGTGTCAGTATTATTATCCTCATATTGCAGACGGTGGTGGGTAATGCTGAGAGATTAGCTGCTTGCATAAGACCATTTTTCAATTGCTAAGGCAATAGCCTGAAGCGCCTGATCCTGCCTAATCTTGGAAGCTAAGCAGGGTCAGGTCCAGCTGAAACCTGGATGGGTGACTGGACTGCCCAGGGAGCTTTGGCCATGGGCGGTGTGGAAATGTAACCTAATGCAGTAATAATTGGACCTGCATGCACAGCATGTGGAACAAGTTACTATGTTCAGCCACCTGTGAGAGGCTGGCATGCTGGGGAAGAGGAGGGGTCTAAGGGCTGGATGCAGGCTTAGCCATGCTTAGAGTAGACCTGCTGAAATCAATAGGACTTAATAGCTCTTAAATTCCCCTAGTGATTTCAACGGCTCTATTGAAAGCATGACTAAATTTGAGCCCACATATAACTTAATGCCCTTTGCATAAAACTGCACTGTTCAGCATGGGTGTCTGTGCAGAAAATACTACACCAAATAATATATGCACAACTTTGTGTGTGGGGGTTACCAGTTATGGGTTTCTGGTTGATTCTCTTTGTATCCAAACAGAGAGATGCAATGAAATGCTTTTTGCATTATATTCTGAACCAATGTTAGGTTGAGAGTCTATTATTCAAGAGAGGTTCTCTCCAGTAAAACAAGCACCCTAATTCTGAAGTCCATCATTTCTGTTGAAAATCAAGATATAACTCCTAAAAGTGCTGTTATCACTGTGGCTAAATCCTAAGTTGCTACATTTACTTACACAGGGGAAGAGAGTTGTTGAATCAGCCTAAATATATAATTTGTGAGTGGGATTTGGAAAAACGCTCTTGGCACCAGTAGAAATATTGAATCGAATCACCTATCTTTTTCTTTCCTTTAGAACCTCGATCTATGTCCGAGCCAGGTAGGTCTATTCCCTTATTCATGTGAAGATAATGCCCAGTTAACTTCAGTCTCGCAGATCCAACTCCATGTCTGCAAACAAACAGGATAAAACTAAAATTATGGCCTGCAGCCCCATGTTCCTGCTTGAGTGCTTGAAAGTGCGCAGATGGTGCTGCGACCAGTGTTCCGGACAGACACAATACAAACTGGAGTGTGTTGCTGGGGAGGCTTTGTTAGAGAACCATGCACATATTCCATCATATTGTGCTAAATTATCTAATTGCCTGCCGTTTTCTCTGCGGAGTATGTTCTGCATACTGGCTAGATCGTCTGTTAGCCTTGCAGCTAAGGTCAGGAGCAGGGCTGCTTCTGTGAGCACTGCTTTCTGCCTGTTGCATCCAAGAAATGTTATTCGCTATAAGGGTTTCCTTTTTAAGGTTTCCCTTTCCCTTCCCTCTTCCCCCATCCAACAACACAGAAACTCGCTCCTAAATAGACAAGTGAACTTGTTATTCTTAAGCAAGCCCTATTTAATTTAATTCAATGGATCCCCCCCGCTGCCACCGCCTTCAACAGAGCTGACTCCCTGGGGAATGTGTAGGACTGCAGCCTAATACTTAGAAAGGCCGCTAAACCCGATGCGGACTGCATGCAGCTGGAAGGTGGCAGGTGGATGAAGCCTTCCGTTCCCTTCTGCAGCTCCACTTCCAGGTTTTTCAAGGCTCCTCGCAGGCCCTCTGTGTCCTCCTTTCCGCAACAAGGCTGCCTTCTCACCACCATCGTCACTCCCTTCTTCCTCATCATTGCTGCCACTTCTTGCTTCGCAAGCAGACAGCCAGTGAGCAAGGAGGCCTGAGCACCCTGCTGCTCTGCCTCACTGTCTCCACTGCTTGGGACAAAGTAAGAGGCAGGTGGATAGGCAGGTTGCAGTGGTGCAGAAAGGGAGTGAGTCCAAGGAGGTCTTGTGATTGAGCCCCGGGTGGGGTGGGAACCCTTGGCTCCTTGGTGGGAGCCCGGACAAGCCTACCCCCAGCACAGGGCCTGCTGTTCTGAGATTACCCTTATCTCAGATCTAAGGAATATCCTTGTCCCATGCTGGATGTGAATGAAATAGCCTGTATTAAATCCCGTATTTTCTTTGGGGCCAAATGTGCACCAGATGATGTAGAATTGTGCTATTTTTACCCGGCTTGCCAGTTGGAGAGTATTGGGTCACACCTCGGCCCTTGCCAGATATTCTCTCTTAACCCTGCTCTCTCCTCATGAAATGTGAGAGCTCCGCTCCAAGCATTCCAGCGCTGAAACTGGAGAATGCCACGGTAAGCATTCTACTTCCAAGAGGTGAATCCTGCCTGGAACCAGATTTGTCGGTGCCTCCAGGACCAGGGCAGTCAATGCAGGCGTAAAGGGCATGGGGGCCCCATGCAGTGCCGCGTTCTCATGAGCCGTTTCTCCCCAGTCACCAGTGACAGGGCGCGGAGGGCCGTGTGCCCTCCTAGATGTGTATGAGTAAGCCCACTGCTATGTACCGTATATGAGAGAGCTCCCCATAAAAAGTGGCACGCAGAAGCCGCTCCTGCGGGAACTGGGAGACGGCAGGCCACCTGTCAAAGGCTGTTGAAAGTGGTCGCCTCTGAGTATACATTTCCCTTGCCACAAAAAGCAGGTGATATAAATCCTGTGACCCTCCGGAAGTTCCAGTGGTGCAGTGGGTTGCACTCACATTTTTGTGATTCCGTCCCCTCAACCAATTAATACGGTTTGAGTATGTCCTCAGTTCTGCAGTTTTCAGCATTCTGCAATTTTCAGAATGTCAAACGCACTTTCCTGGTATGCAGATCTGGAAAACAGTCCCTTGCCTTCTTCCATGAATCCGACACCTGATCCCGGGCTGATTCCCACTGAGGTGGACAGTCCAAGTGGCACTTCCTTTTGACCTTCTCTCCTGCCCCAGCACAAGAAATAGGAGCCACAATCCCAAAGTGCTTTTCTTCCACAAGTCTTATTAAAATGAATGGATACTGCTGAAGAGCACCATTGGTTTCAACTTAGTTTGTGCCAGAGAATACCCTGGTCGATTCTGCCTCCTGGAACCAGATCTGCTTGTTGCACACTTTGCTGCCTTCAGGAGGGCTCCAAGTCAGCCCCCCACCTGATTTAGGACAGGGACAATTCTGGAGGGGATGTTCGTGCACTGAATCTGAAACAGCCCCAAACAAGGCCCAGAGGAGTCACACACCCACTTGCCTGGAAGTTTCTCCTACTGTGGCATGGTTAGTCTGGCTAGTTGAGTTTACACCTGAGCAAAAAGGTGCTAATCACTTTCTTTTGCTTTTCAGAGGAGATTTGCACATTGGTCATTGCTGAGGTATTTTCAGAAGATTCTGGGAGTTTTACCTGCACTGCAAGCAATAAGTATGGGACAGTTTCCAGTACTGCTCACCTAAAAGTAAAGGGTAAGAGATTATATTAAGAAACCTTTACGATTGTCTTGGCCTTTTGCTGATATGTAATCCAGTTTACAATATTTGGGTCATAGGCAGTGCCAGAGGAAAAACGAGAGGGAAAAAGCTCCCCACCAGTAGCTTACTCGACCTTCCGCATTATTATTATTATTATTTTAAGAAGTCTAATATATGGGTCAAAGTTCCCCAGTGTATTTTTCTTGGTGCTGCCATTGGTTCATGTAATAACCCTTATATAACCTTTCTTATTCCAGGACCTGTGGACCAGAATCATAATGCTGCTCTCCATACTATAAGTTCGATCAGTTTAGTGGCTGCGGAACACCAGCCTTCTGCACCAGTCCCTTCGCAGCCTTCGGTGGATCAGCCTCCAAAGCCTAAACTGGAAGGCGTTCTTATAAACCATAATGAGCCCCGGTCAAGTTCCAAAGTAGGCCTTCATGTGCACTTTAAGCTGCCAGATGACGATAAAGGAAGTGAAGCCTCTTCAGAAAATGGAGGAAGGCCTACACATCACATCAGACCAAACTGCTTCCCAGACAAGATCAATGGGCAGATATTTAAAAATCAAGAGATAACGTCACCTTCAAAAGAGCCACCTCCAGTACTAGCGAAACCAAAATTGTAAGTAAGAAGGCATTTGTGAAGCATGAACACAAAGGTGGCCATAGGAGGGGCTGGCCACTTTTTAAGTATGGACAGCCCAAGGTTAAACTGGACAGCCAGTCTGGCTTAAGTATGGTTGAAGATCACCCTCATAAGACTAGGACTTTGAAGCCACCCACAACTTGATGGCCAATTGAGCAGGCAGGCAGAGGGGAGAGCTGACTGCATTCTTCTCCACTATGTATTTATAGTAATCCTTTTAAAATTTGCATCTGAACATATACATGCGTACATGGAAATGTCATGCAAACCCGCATTTTCTTTTGGTGATGCTCTTTTTTCCATACCATGTGGCAGTGTTTGAAAAAGAGGTTCAATTTATTCCTTACTTATTCTGTTCTTGCCTCACACACATTAACATTTCCCAAAATGTTAACATCCTCTACATTCTTGAAAAACAAAGCTTATTGACTGGATATAGGGTAAGTCCAGCTGAGTGATTCGGGATCTTCATCCTGAAGGGGCCACTCCGGCTGTGTCAACATCAGCGTCCGTTGTATTTTTCTTCCTGGAACAAGGATGGATGGAAAGCTGTCCGTCCTTGTGCAGGGGTGCAGGGGTAGCCTGGCAGTGAGACGCTTATCATGGCAGTGATGGTGTCCAAATTCAAACAGCTGTGTTTGTGTGGTTATACACAGGTGCTGCAGAGAAACTTTGGTTCCCCCCGTTACTTTGAAGAATGGCAACTAAGTCCAGAGAGAACAGGGAGGTCTGAGGAGGTGGGCAGATGGGGTCAGCACCCCTACTATTCAAAAGTCCCAGCACTTCCTGCCCAAGTGCCTTTGTTCCGCTGCACCGCTGTCCTCGTCTCATATGTTCTGGTTGCCCTTTGTACATGTATGTGCTTCCTATAAGCAATGAGCAGAAAAGGAGTCACTTATCAATACTGCAGCCTGTTGTACCAGACAGCAAGTTTGCAGGTAGTAAAGCGGGCTCAGGAAATTGCGGAGACAGGATAAGCGAAAATGATCTTATGGTGGCACTGAAGATCAGCTTTGAAGTCAAACAATTGTCCCTGGAGAAGAATTTCTTCTTAGCACATGTTGGGATACGTAGGGTCCATTCACGCTTTATTGCAGCATTATGTTGCCTCATTCATGGGATTTTACCAGGGGTTCTGTTTGTAAACCAACCATGTTTTCTCATTGCTCCTTCCATCTTTTTTTTCTTTCCACAAGAAAAGAAAGAAAGAAAGATCAGGCAGAATAGCTGCACAAGCCTTCTGGCTTGTAACAGTAAGAGCCTTCTACCTGGAAGCATCCATCACATCAAACTGTTTCCTAGCACCACTTGAGGTTCAAGGAATTTGGTGGGGAGCACAGTCCTCTATGTTAAAACTCCTGCACTGAACCAAATAACAGCAAAACCACTTGTGTAAATAAGAGGGCCCTCCCAGGGAGCTTCACCAGTGGTGGGGATGCATTTATTTATGGAATGGAAATATTCATGTTCCACTTTTTCCTCCAACAAGTATATCCATTTCAGCCTCACAACAACTCTGTGATGGCCCCAATGTCACCAGCAAGCTCTGTGGCCAAGTAGGGACTAGAACCTGGATCTCCTGGGTCCCTGCCCAACATCCTAACCAAAGCATGACCCTGGTTCTCATGAGCACAAGTGCCTCACCACAGGTGTGCATACGTGAGCACACGGGCCTTCGTTATTGCACCAACTGGGAAAGTGGGAGGTGGTTACGTATCTTCCCTTGGCGTAGCTCTGACTCATTCCAGAAAGGACTTGTTGGAAATTCATCATTGTGATTCAGTTTCCAAAGCACTGCCTGCCTCCTGTTCAGTGGCTTTCTTGTGGCCTATACTATAGCTGGCATACATGTTTTTATTTTTGTGTGCAGGGATCCCACCCAGCTAAAACAGCTACACAACCAGGTCTTACTCGAGCAACAGCTAATTCAACAGCCATCTCCTCCACGGGAGCAATCATTCAATACTGGCGCGCATCAGCAGCAACAACCTTCATCGACTGCGTACAAGCAGAACAAGGGTCCCTCCACACAGACATTCACTTATACCCGGCCTAAGCAATTTCTGGCATCGCAGAACACCGCGCCAGCCGTCAGCTCCCCGTCCAGCTCCCCCATGCCCTCATTCAACAATGCACTTCAAGGAACCCAGAAAGCAACCAGCAAGGAGAACGTCTTGGGATCTCCTCCACCAGGCCAGACGAGATCTCTGGGAGGCTTGACAAACCAAGCGGAGCAGCCACTTCCCAGTCCCAAAGAAACGGTGTTGCCGCCATTGTTGCTTTCTGTATCCAGCATGAACCAGTTCCAGCCCCAGAATGTGCCTCCGACACCTCTCTCTCCAACTGGTCGGATTCAGAATCCCGTAGCCTTCCTCAGTTCGGTTCTTCCTTCACTTCCTTCTACACCCCTAACGAATGCCATGGGTCTTCCTAAAAGTGCTCCAGCTGCGTAAGTGAAGCTAATGATGCATGTTCAGATCAGTACAAGTGAGCCACTGTGGAAGTTTGTTCACAAACAACATCTACCATATGCTAATTGCAAGACTGTGTGTTTTGAACACAGTTAAGCGAACCTGAATTGTTAAGATCCATTGGTGGCCCCTTAAGAGGGGAGGGGGAAAGGTTTCCCTAAAGCAAGGATGAGCAACTCATAGGCCAAAACATCTGGAGGACCACAAGTTGCCCATCTCTTCCTTAAAGAAAGAGTTATCCAGGGAACTATGCATAATCTCTCAGGAAATAGGCTTCTTTTTATGGTGACTTACTCAAAATTGTTCTACCACATTTAGAGGCAAAACCTTGGTTGGTTTACCTATCATGGCAAAGAACCAGAGGATCTTTTAATATGTGTCCTTGTTTAGTCTATCAGACCACTTACCTCGTGTTCATTTTCTTTTTACAAATTCCACAACACTTTCTCTTGAAAAAGTGTTTACTCTGGGAAGAGGTGAAGCCCTGTGCTTTGTTAACTCTCTGAAATTTATTACTTTTTTGGCAATTGTTTAAAAATTTCAATTTATAGCTTGGTAACGCTTTGGCTGCAGTCTTCTGTGTCTTTAGAGGTAAGACTAGAGATGATTTCAGTGAAACTCTCAACAATGATGGGCTACACAAACTGTCTCCTTCTCTGGTGCCCTCCAGGTGTGTTAGCCAGTGGCCATGCTGGCTGGGGATGACTGGCATTGTAGTCAAACAAGCAAACCAAAATAAAAAGGCATCCACAACAGTGTTTATAGAGCCAAACTTGTTTCAGAAATGGTTTCTTTATCAGGAGCAACTGATCTCTTCAGACCTTCCAAATAATACATGGCATTCTAATTCACGGATGGAAATCCGACACACCTGGAGGGTGCAAGGTTGAGAAGGGCTGGTCTAACCCCCCTTAAGTACCACGGGGAACATCAAGGTGAGGTGCAGGGACTTGCCACCTCACCGTTCTGTTCTATTCCTTTCTGCTACATCAGACACTGGCTGGTGATGGCCAATAAGTTCAATGATGAGGAGCAGCCACTGCTGTTCTGCGGAGCTCTTTGCCTCCACCAGTGCTGCTGGATATCTGTATGAACCTGCTGGGAGAGGCCAGCAAGAGCACTGGAGTTCATTGTCATCACTATACACATAGCCCATGGGCCGAACACTTAGGAGCTGCCATTTTAGTCTTCAACCAATGGTCAGAAGATTGGTTCTGATCAATGAGGAAGACTAGAGCAAATGCAGCAGCAGCATCTGGTGTGAAATGTGTGGACCCTGGAAAGAGAGCCGTTTTGGCTATGGGGCAGGATAAACACCTAATAAACAAATATCCATACTGATGTATAAATATTACAAATGCATAGATGCTGCCACTTCTTGGACCTACTGTTATTCTAGACCAGCCTTCCTCAACCTGGTGCCTTCCACTGGGGATGCTAGGGCTTGCAGTCCAACCTATATGGACGGCACCAAGCTAGAGGGGACTTTTTTTTTGACACTCGCTTTTGCTTTTTGAAAAGCAGGTTGCTGTAAACTCTAGAGCAGCTTGTTATAGACTTCATCTGCTCTACCTCTTACTGAGGAATCAGGGAATTTGCCATGCAGGTCCATGTGCCTTTAAAACTTTGAGATTTCCCTTAGCTTGCTTCTTGCCATAGCACCTGGGAGGATGAGAAATATACTAAAGTTTCACCCACTCTGCATCTTCCCTGAGGGCATCAGGGCAGGAGAGAGCTTTATTGTACCCAAGCCTTCCCAGCCAGAGAAAAGCTGAACGCGAAGAAGCCCGGTCCTCAATGAAAGTGCTGTCTGAGTACAAATACATAAGGCACAACCTTTAATTAAAAAAAATAATCAGAGAACCATAAAAGCAGCAAAAGGAATCAATAGCAATAACACAATAGCATCGCCAATAGGTAATAGCATTCAACTCGGTATTAAGAAAAAGCAAATTTATTTGACACTAGTTCAAACAGCAGGAGCAGCATAGCAACTCGTTCAGTAAAAAGCGACTTGTAGAAAATAGGCCATAATATTCTTTTGAAGGTTTGTAAGGATGGAGCCATCTGAACCTGGGTTAAAATAAAGTTCCAGACAGACAGACAGACAGACAGACAGACAGACAGACAGACAGACAGCATCTAGCTGGATCAGGGCATGTTTTTGCCCCCTGCCCCCAAGAACAAGCGCCCATGAATTCAATAATAAAGCAACATTTTAATCAATGGTTTATTTTATAGAGGAAGCCAGGGAACAGTGAAGAAAAATTCCAAGCCCTTGCAGCTGGCAACAGAGGATTCAATTAGAGCTCATAGAACTGCTGTTGTGAAAGACTTGGAGAAAAGACTGTATTTACGGGATGATGTGTTTCCACATGGCCAGCAGGTAAAAGTTCGGACTGCTGTTAAAATATGCGTTCCTCTTAGATCTTCAGTCCAACTCTTGCTTCACCAACACATAACTGCTTGGGATGGGGACATTTATTTTGCATCACAAGCATTTTTTTTACTCTGGATTGACATAAATATTTAGGATCTGGACTTGTCCACTTTCATGACCCTCCTATATACATGCAGGCCCTCCAGCAGTACCTGGCTCAAAGGAGCACATACAAGCTCCCACTGATCTCCAGGGCCCCCCACAGCTCTGTGTTTTGTTCTTTTTAATTTGAACTTATTTTATTTTATGGTAGAAAGATGGTGCTTTAGAAAGGTCATAAAGAAGAATAAATTAGAGATCAGGGCGCATTCCTGAGCTTTGGCCAGTGCTGTGCTATAAGGGGTTTGCTGCATTATGCTTTGGAAGTTGTTGTGCTATAGAAGATATTTCTGGAACAGTCCAGCAGTTGCCAGTAGTAGATTATAGCTAGGGATATGTAAATGCTGCCGATATACCATATAGTGCAGAAGTGGGTATTCTACGCATTGAACATCGTCCATGCTTTTAAAAATTAAAATACTTTTTCTTTCAGGACATGAAATTTGGCTTGAACATTTGTAGACAATGCCTAATGATTCACCAGAAAGGGAGAAAACAGAGCTAGGATTTCCAGTGTTCAGAGAGTAGGGCTGCGGTGGCTTGCATAGGATCCCTGGGCCCTTTTCAGATCTTCCAAATATAGGTGTTCTTATGTAATCATACCACCTGTCCAGGAGACCAACACCTTGATAGGCTGGTAAGCAAGAGGCCTGCCGGACAGGTTTCACTGATGCTGCTTGTTGCTGATCTGGTGGGATCAGAAGTGGGTCTCTTGCTGGTCAGCCATGTGCCTGGGAACTTTAGAGAGCTGCTTTTGAAAAATCATCGTATTTAGAAGATTGTGTTTTCTTTCGCATAGGACTTTGAAAGGCATGGTAGTCCCGCTTGAATGGGTAGTTGGAGGATACATAAATGTTTGTCATTGCTCTGTGGTGAGGGAAATTACTTGGCACAGATTAAAATATGTTTTATTTATTATTTCAGGTTAAAATATGTTCTAATTATTATTATTGTCATTATTATCATCTAATTATGTAAGTATTATAATTGCTGAGAATAGGTTCCAGGGCCAAGTGTGCTGAGCTGGACCAATCCTTGTTTCTATATATCACCTGGCAAGTAATTGTGAAATAAGAAATTTCAAGCAATTCCTGACTCGATTCAGTCTCCAGCTTCTTGGTGGCTCTGGGGACTTTTTCTCCGATGGAGTCGGCTGCTTCACTGGTTTCTACTAAATCATGGGCATGTGTTACATTTTTACAGATGAATCATAGGTGCTAAAGTTCATACTTGCTGAAGTTGTGAGATAAATTGCTTAGAAGGCGACTGTGAAATACCATTCAATCTTTTATGCTAACGACATAATCCCTCCCTTAGAAGTGACAATCACTCTGAGATCGCAGAGCTACCTGCTGAGAGCATGAACTATTTATACACATGTGATTGAATAGACCCAAGAACTTTAATACCGTCATCCTATGCAGACTTACCTATGAGTAGTTCCACTGAATGCCCTAGGATTTACTTCTGAGTAAACATGTGGAGGATGTCATCCACCTTGAAATGGGTGAATTGGTTTCATTCGTCTTTCATTGCCCGGGTAATCAATTATTATTGTCATTTGTTTCATCCAACATATTTCCTTTATTCTTTCATCTTCCATTTTTTGATATTTTCAGCAACTGACTACCTGAAGTGGGGACTAAAATTGGGGATTTTGGGCTGGTAGCAGAGGGTTTATTCCAAGCATTTCCTTCAACCAGAAATAGGTAGGACGTGTTAGCGTGCTGTCTGACACCTGGAGACAGACTTGGACAGAGACCTGCGTAGAGAACAACTAAAAATTCGAACAGCCCTATTTCTGCAATAGGTCTTGCTTAAAGGGTAGTTTGTTAACATGTCACATGGAATAGGGTTAGGGCTCCTGAGTTCCTCCATCCCCTCGCTTAAGGTATCTATTCTCTGTGCTGCTCACCTTTCCCACTTTTCCCACAAGCCTTTGATTGTGCTGCCCAGGCTGTTTTGTGTCCCGTCTCTAATTTCAGCTCTCTCCCTCGGTCGGAGTGTGTCTGTGTGCCACAGGGTGGTTTCGTGTGGCTGGGGGTCCTGCTTGACAGAGGGCAGTCCTCTGTTTGAGAGTGCCGTTATCTGAAGAGCTGTCGGAGAATAGACTTCTCTTTATCTGAGTTATCCTCTAACTCAGCCTTCTCCAACCTGATGACCTACATAGCATTTGGACTGCAACTCCCAGAATGCCCATCCAGTAGGGCCATTGACTGGGAATTCTGGGTGTTGCAGTCCAGTGTCTGGAAGGCACAAGGCTGGGGAAGGCTGCTCTAACTGAAGGGTCCAAAAAGAACCACATCAAGAGGGTCACATGGAGGACTTGCAGCTGCCCACCAGCTGGGACAAGAGAAGGCATGCAGGGCATAGACTTTCTCACTGTAGTGAGAGGCATTGCACTTCTACTGAAATAACTGCACTTATTTTTAAAATTGCATCTAAACCTATATATTAATATATGCACATTCTATTCAAATTGTGGCATCTTCTTTGGTAATGCCTGTGTAGCCCCCCTGTGCTGCGGTTATGTGTTCTGCAGAGGAGGAAGGTATAGGCATTCTACATCATGTTGCCTCCATAGGAATCCTCATAGCGATATCTTAATCTGGGCCTGTTTGCATGATCGCACTGGGGAATAATAACCCACTAACCCACACTCAAGGGTTAAGTATAGGCTACAAGTGCTTTGTTGGTGACTGTTGCTGAAATATGGGTTTTTGTGTTGTCGGAACCCTGGACCACTAACAAGTTTATTAACCATGAACAACCCATGAAGCGAGCCCAGGATTTGTTATTGGGTTGTGAGCTGTGGGTTATCTTGGCTCCGTTCATTTCAACAGCAACCCATACTCCACCCTTGGGTGTGGGTTATCGTATTGTCTGAACCCAGTGGCTTTTCCCCATGGGACGCATGCCAGAAAGATCAATGTAATTACCCTTGGCACTATGGCTTCCCAAGTTGTGCAAACCAGGCCAGTGTGGTTTGTTGCTATGGTTAGCAGCCCACTCTGGACGCCTACCATAAGCCATGGGTTCTGAGTGACTTGTTCAGCACAGCAATAAGCCACCCTGGCTTATGAACCATCCAGGGATCATGTGAACTGGGTTTTTTTTAAATTTAATTTAATTTTTTTTTTTTTGGATTTATATCCTGCCTTTTTCCTACAAAGGGCTCAAGGCAGCTTTCATCTCCTCCTCCATCTTATCCCCACAACAACAACCCTGTGAGGTAGGTTGGGCTGAGAGTCTGTGACTGGCCCAAAGTCACCCAGTTGGCTCCACGGCTGAGCGGGGACTAGAACCCAGGTCGCCTGAGTCCCAGTCCCGTGCTCTTAACCACCTCACCACACTGGCTCTCAAGTGGTCTTCCGCAGGTCCACAAATGATTCCTCCTGCACAATTTGGACTGTCATCTCATCTTCCCCCACTCCCACCCAGATTTTCTCTTTCTGCTAATCAGCCTGGTTCTTCCTTAGTCTTGCCCCTTTTTAGAAGCATGAAGAGAACTATGAAAAAGGTGCCAGTTTGTGCATGCAAATGAGGAAGCAATTGTGTGGTCACACTAGGAGGTCAGGACAAATATGCTCACCAGCGCTTTGCTACATGTCAGAATATCGAGTGCTATCTGGTTAAATCTGAATTTTTATTGTGGGGCAGGGGTTTTCAAGTGGACAGGACTTCCTTGAGTTCTGTGGGTTTGACTGGAGAGAGTGAGTCACAAATAATTTTTAAACTCAGTATTTGTGTCTGGCACAAATTTGTGTCTGTTATGTTTACACAGAAAGGGCTACATTAGCTTTACTTAGAACAGGCCCATTAAAATCACTAGGATTTAGGATAGACTACCACTAGCTATGGGACTGCAGGTGGCGCAGTGGTTTAAACCACTGTGCTGCTGGGCTGGTAGATTGAAAGGTCGCCAGTTCGAATCTGCACAACGGGGTGAGTTCCCGTTGCTCTGTCCCAGCTCCTGCCAACCTTGCAGTTCGAAAGCATGCAAATGCAAGTAGATGAAAAGGTGCCACTTCGGTGGGCAGGTAACAGCGTTCCGTGCACTTCGGTGTTTAGTCATGCCGACCACATGACCACGGAGACTGTCTGCAGACAAACGCTGGCTCCCTCGGCTAGGAAACGGAGATGAGCACCGCCCCCGAGAGTCAGGCATGACTGGACTTAATGTCAAGGGGAAACCTTTACCTTTTTACCTTTACCACTAGCTGCAACCCACTGAATAAAACCGAGCGAAGCTGCAAATGTTATATATAGCAATAGAAAATCTGGGTGCTGTGTTATTTATTTATTTATTTGAAGTATTTTTATGCTGTTCCACTTCCAGAAAGACTCTCAGATTGGCTTATATATATAATCAATTAAACAAGACTGTTTTCATGTTTACAATTATCACACAACGTACAAGGGGAAATGAGTGGGGAGGGAAGAAAAGAGAACAATTAATTTTCTTAGATTGGCTGGTGGATTATTGCTGTCCTCCTCCTCCTTTCCTTGTTTCCCACTTGCTGGTGGGGGCAGTTAAGGGAGGAAAAGTCTTCACGGCAGAGGTAATGAAGATTAATCACATGGAGCAATTGATTAAAAAGAGGGAGGCCTCAGTGTGCTCAGGGGAACCCTGAGGTTTCAGAAGTAGAAAAATATTTAGGGAAATAAACCAAAGGCAACAAAAAACACGAACAAAACACAACCCCAGAACAGTCCAATGAGGCATCTTCAGTGGCCAGAGAATGCAGAGTCTTCTGGTCAGAAGAATCCAGAACAATCGGGGAAACGGACTGGAGTACCCCGGCTGGGCAGGAGCACTCCAGCCTACAAGGTTTTGCAATAGGTAGCACTTTGATTTCATGTTCATTTTTCACAGAGTCCTTTAATGAAACTCTTGTGATTCTTTGACCAGTCCATTGATGTGTGTTGGTCCTTCTGCACACAAAGGCTTTCTCTTCAGCCTAGCAATTAAATGACACGGCTTCCATCGGAACCATCCATGTGAATCCCAGCTTGCATCCAGTGTGGATGCTGCAAGTGAGATTGACACTTGCAAATCTTGAATGCCCGGCTACTGGGAATACCCAAACCATCCAGAAGTTTTTTTATACAAATCAGTGGCAAGGCACCTTCTTCCCAGTGAGTCTGTGCAAAGCATTTCTCCCTGGCAACAGGGCAAGAACAGCTTGCCCCTCTGAGCAGGATGCCCTTGCTTTCCAAAATGAAGGTGTCCTGCCAGCACTGAAAGCAATGGTGCAGCGGCTCCTTCTTTCACTTCCAGTCCTGCAGGGAAAATGTGTTTTCCAGGTTCCTAGGAATGAGTAAGTTCAGCAAAGAAAGTTGTGGGCTTGGGACTTCCTCCTTATGAATGATCATTAGGGCTTTGCTCATTATCACAGGCATATGACCAGCACTGAATAAATGATAAGCTTAGCAATTAAATGACACTGCATATTTGAGTACAGAATAGCTTTGCTAGCATAAAAATATAGGATGGGAGAAAAATGTCTAATATTTCTCTATAGGTATGAAACAATGGTGCTTATTCTAAGGAGCAGGTGATTGATATTATTCAGAACTTCCCCACTGATTTGCTATGTTTTCATATTTTAGGGTGGGGGAAAATTTATTTAGAATGGTAAGAACCTAAAAGCCACCTGTAGGACAATCAGAATGAAAGAAATATAAGACAAGCAGTCACAGAGACATAACGTTTTATTGTCTGCAACAAGATCTTGGTTTTGACAAAACGTGGTTAAGAAACAGTTGGGGCGGGGAGAGTGGTGGGCTGAAAGCCATGTTTGTTGAACTACATGTCCACAAGCTAAATCCAGCTCCACCTGGGATCCCAGGCCAGCCTGCTGGGGTACCTCAGGTAGCCGGATCCCTTCCCCTGGCCTGATCATCTTTCTCCTGACCGCTGGTCATTTGGTGATTTCCCACCTTTTGATCTGATGCTATTTTGGTTGCTTTTGGTAATTTGGGCCTGACCCATTTCCCTTTGGCCAACCCCTTTTGCTTTCAGCAACTCCTATTACTGGAATGCAGTTTCCAAGTACCTTTTTTTTAATTGAATGCAGGCCTTGAGCTGAAAGAGATTCAGCAAAGTTAAGCCGCTAGTAAGGGAAGGGAAAGTTGAGAGTGGATACAGAATGGGGTGGAAGAAAGGCTTTTAGGGCCAGAATGCAAACAAAGACCTTGTGTAGGAGTGAAGACACTTTTCTTTTTTTCCTCATAAGTGTGAAGAAAGAAAAACAAAATAAGGAAACAAGGAAAAGGAAAATATGTGGATATAACCACATAGATGTGAATTTATCAATTAAAATAAGTTTCAGCAAGGGCAGACCAAATATCCATAATTATATATCTGTATATCACTCTATTTTCCTGGGCTCCAAGATCACCACAGACGGGGACTGCAGGCAAGAAATTAAAAGATGCTTGCTCCTGGGGAGGAAAGCTATGGCAAATCTAGTCAGCATACTAAAAAGCAGAGACATCACCCTGCCAACAAAAGTGCGTGTAGTCAAGGCTATGGTTTTCCCAGTTGCAATGTATGGATGTGAAAGCTGGACCATAAGGAAGGCTTAGCACCGAAGGATTGAGGCCTTTGAATTGTGGTGCTGGAGGAGACTCCTGCGAGTCCCTTGGACTGCAAGGAGATCAAACTGGTCAGTCCTAGAGGAGATCAACCCTGACTGCTCTTTAAAAGTCCAGATACTGAAGATGAAACTCAAATACTTTGGCCACCTAATGTGAAGGAAGGACTCCCTGGAGAAGAGCCTAATGCTGGGAACAATAGATGGCAAAAGAAGAAGGGGACGGCAGAGGATGAGGTGGCTAGATGGAGTCACTGAAGCAGTTGGTT